TTGACTTGATATATCTTATTTTCTTGTGCAATTAATTCAGAAGATATTGTTGGGTATCTTCCAGGTGCTGGGCTGGAGTTACAAGGCCATGGAAAGAAACAGGAACCAGAGTAAGTGAATGTTGTTGCTCATAAACTCATTCTTAGAATCCATTACAATGTAGCATTTAGGCAAATATTTTTAAAGGATCCAAACAATACTCTGTATTGTTTATAGAAATGTTCATATGCAATAAAATTACAAAAACATGCACAGGAATGATGCAAACAATCATAGGGAGGTTAGGAGGAAGGAAAGGGATGGGTCTAGCCTTTAGCCAAATCATAAACATTTTATTTCAGAGACAGAGACAATGAGAGACAGAGAGAGACCAAAAAGAAAGAGATAAATTTGTAAATCTTAAAATAATGCTGATGGTATTTATTTTTTACTTTCCTCCTAAATAATTTCAGATAAAGATTAAAATGAAAATTATACTTCTATATAGAAATGCTATAATTTGTTAATTTATAATTTAGAAAATAAAAATTTTAAAATCCTACAATTGCTTCCAAGGAAGATGAGCCTGTTAAAACAGACAGCCCTTCCGTATTTACAAATACCCATCCTCCAAGGAGACTGAAATGAAGAAGATAAGACAGTGATGGGCTAAGGCTGGAGCCTCATGGCTTCACGGAGTCTATGAACAACTCAGAGTACGGCTCGACAGTTTCACAGGAAGGATGTCTACCCTGACTTAGAGTGGTGTGTGTTGCTGTGCACAAACCTCTCCATCCTTGCACTTGCATGCACCTGGTGAGAGTTTTTAAACCCAAGAAGCTGCCGACTTCATATCTGGGTGATGCTTATAAAGAAGATGATAGCAAAGCAGGTAATCAACAGCCTGCTTCCCTAACACAGTTCATTTGCTCACTGGGATCACATATTGTGACCTGTGTCTTGAAGAATTCGTAGAAAACCTTAGGAGGATTTCCCACGGGCTGGGCGTAAGAGTGAGTGGAATTGATGTGGTCTAAAGCATAGGGCAGGGAGCTGTCACAGTGGTGAGCTGGGGCATAGTAAGCCCTTCAACCGCAGTCATTAAGAGTCCTGCTCTAGGCAAAGGTGGGGAAATTAGAGGAACTTGGGGGAGGAAATTATGAGGGAAACAAATACTAAGCAAAATCAGAAGAAAGGGCATACTATGGGATCTTTTAGAAGGACGTGGAGCTCTTTGGATCTCACTAATGACACCTGAGTAAGAGGCAGCCATCAGGTTGGTCCTTCTTGCAGAAGATTCCCAGATCTCCACATGTTATGTTGGACCTAAAACTTTCCCTAAATTCCCATGTGTGGGGTATAATAGCTCACTTTCTGTTAGGAGACAGGGCCTGGTTAGAGATGGGTCATGAATGTGTGGCCTAGAAAGCAATCGCTCCCTCTGTGGCTCTTCCCATTTCTCTCTGCTTCCAAGCCACCATAATTCAAGCAGCTTTACTCTGCCAAACTTTCGCCATGCCCTTCCTGCCTTACAGCCAGTCAACCACGGACCTAATCCTCTAAAAACTGTGTGCCAAAATAAATCTCTCCTCCTTTTGGTTGTGGGTGTTGGGTATTGTATTTTAGCAATGATGAAAGTACCTAAAGTATTATGAAACTCTGGACAATGGAAGGAGCTTAACCTTCTGAGTACCTGTGAGTTCTGAGGCACAGGGTATTGGACTGGACCACATTCTTGCTTTACCTGCCTTTCAGACGGTGGCCCACCAGGAGCCTTGCAAGAAGTCCTACTTACAAATGCGTTGGGAATTTCCACCAAGTTGCCAACTTAGGATCACAAGATGGACTGATGTCTTGTGTTTTCTTTAACAACCCGAGCCAAGAAGGCAGTGACCTAGAAAAGACAAAGACAGGAGAGTAATATTTTGTTCTCTTTGCAGTCTCTGACCGAACTTTAATCTTTTTATTTTAGAGGTCTGGTGTTAGTTAGGGCCCTGTAGTAGCTTATCTCCTGGATGGGGAAACAGCTGATGTGGTAGTAGATTGGGTTGGGAGTGAGCTGAGGAGGGAGGAGCGGTTGGTTAGAGGGAGGAGGCAAAGGCCAGGAAGGCAGGAGGGAGGTGAAGCAAAACAGGTTTCTTGGAAATGAAACTGCTTCCCCAAGAGGAACAGTCTGATGTGATAAGAGCAAAGTAATAAAAAACAGACAGCTCACATTTCCCTGCAAGTGGAGAGCCAAACAGCAACAGGGTTTAGGCTGTTTCCAGATCATTGTGTAAGTCAGTGTAAGTTCTTCCCCAGGCGCTGGGTGGGGAAGGGGTGGGGGATCTTGTTTCAAAGGCTCCCCACTGAGTCTATGGCAGAGAGCTCAAAGCCTTGGAGAGAACAGTCCTCTTTCCTCCACTCCTAACCCTGTGCCTTTTCCCAGCATTGCATACATAGGGGTGAGGAGTCCTTGTTCAGTTCACTGGCTCCCGCTCCCAATCCCCCCCTGCATCCCCCACAGCTGCTTCACTAAATCCTTCAGCTCAGAAAGAACTCTTGCCCATACTCAACTCTTTTCGTTTCCTGGAGGGCTTGTCTTGAATTAAGAGGCAGCAGGTAGGTGGAATCTGGCTTCATTCGATAGCCTTGTGCCAAGGAATTGGTGGTGGGATTTGACAGTGGATCAAACGATCAGCCTTCCCCACGCCTCCTAACCCACTTCCTCCCGAGCAGGATCCCCTAAGCTTTCAGCAGCTTGTACCAAAACACAGTCCGAGTTCTTGCATCATCAAATGACTGTCGATTCTGAAACCTGGCAGACAAAGTCTGTTTCTTTGCCAGTTGGAAAAGGGAAGGAGCTAGTCTCTAAGAAGAAAGTGAGACCTCAAGCTGAGAGATGCCTGGACCTGGAGGAAGAGGCTCCATGTCAACCCTGAGTTTTCATTTCCCCTGAGAGCAGTAGGAGGGTTAACTGGGAAGAGGGAGAGGTGCACAGAGGCAGAGATGAGCATCTGCTGCTTCATCTAAAGCCCAGATGTGCCGCAGAATAAGAAGGAACACTTGCGTAACTGTCTTGCATCAGCTAGAGACAGTCTAGGCATTATTGGCCCCTCCTTGGATTTCCCTCCCTTGGTCCAAGTGACCTGTGGTTGATTTGTCTTGGATCCAACTTGGTGGTACATAATCTGTCCTTTTCTTTTAGCTGTGATGGAGGCCAGCACAGCAGCACTGATGAAGTTCAGACTGTACATGCATGTGGGGACCCTACAATGAGCAGAGAGCTGTGGCAGCTGTTGAAAGTGTTGAAGCTATGATTTGTTGCCTGATAGGTGCAGAGAAGGGCACAAGGACTGATCTCCAAATGGTTTGGTTTAGACTTATGAAGGTGTTGAGATACCTAGACACTGAGTAGAGGTACATGATACAAGGTAATTCTTGCTGGTACTTTTCTTTGGTACAGGATATTGAACCCAGTGCCTTTGCACTGAACTACATCCCAAGCTCATTTTAAAGACTGTAATCACTAAGTTGCTACTTGCCCTAGGTGGGCTTGTACTTTCAATCCTCCTGCCTCAGTCTCATAAGGTGTTAGGATGCCAGGAGTATACTGCCACACCCTTTTGTCTCACAAGCAAGAGCAATTTTATAGAAGATTCTCAGCGCTACTGCAAAGCTTGGGCAAACGCCAGTGTGCACAGCAAGGGCTGCCTGGATGACGATCCTGTGTTCTCAGTGGGCTGCTTACTGCTTGGTTCTGTGCAGAAAGAAGAAGCCTTCTGTCTGGAGGGGCAGCATGCGGCACCTGAGACACAACATGGTCCTCTTGCCTGTGCTCACAGCCTTGAGGGCATTCTTGAATTGTTCAGTTGGGCCCTGAGCATCATTCCCTGGTTAGAATCTCATTTTCCTTCATACAGAACAGCTCTATCCATTTCTGTCTTTTTCGTTGCTGTTGATGTAGCATTCTCCCAACCAGCAGGAACAGATGTCATGATATGGTTTCCATGCAGAGCTACTCTCTCAGCTCCTTCTGCCTGGGCTCAAGTTCTTTTTTTGATTGGAGTTACAAAACCCAACCCTGACCTGCTGAAGGTGGAAGATGATTACTGTGCATGAGTCTAAAACAATCTGTTCTCTTGCATAGAGTGCCTGAATCAGAGGACCCAGGAAGAACTGGGGAGGCTGCTCATATGATAACCAGGCAGGAGACCAGGGACCTCTGTTGTGGTCTGAATGCTCATTCTTATGTAAAAAATCATATATTGAAATTATGCATTGCAAGCAGATGGTATTGGGAGTGGCACATTTGCAATTTGTTTAGGCCATGGGGGCAAAGTCCTCATGAATAAAATTTTAATGACCTTATAAAAGAGGCCCAAGTGAGACCCCTTTCCCCATCTCCATGTGAGGCTAGAGGAAGAAGAGAGCAGTCTAGGAAAAGAAGGTGCCTTAACAGTGATGGAGTGCACTGCTACCTTGAGTTTAGACTTCCCAGAGAGGTGGGCACGGTGGCACACACCTGGTGGCACAATCCTAGCACCCTGGAGGCTGAGGCAGAAGTATTGTTATATGTTCAAGACTAGCTTGGGCATAAAGAATCTGAAATATAGCTTGAAATACATAATGAAAATCTGTCCCAAAACAAAACACCTGTGAGAAATGAATTTCTGTTGTTTATAAGTTACTCGGTAGCCGGAACAGATGAAGGCAGTCAGTATTCTAAGCTTCACTCTGAGTCGTGTCTGCAGTATCCAATCTACAAATTTTGCTAGGTAAATCCCAGCAAAGAAATGTAAGGCTGTTTACCTTGTATTGAAGAACCATGTCAATCTATTGACTCAGCTAATATTAATTGAGCTCTCACTGTATGTAAGCATACTACCCTGCTTGAGAAAGTACTCATTGTTCTGACCCAAGAGTGATTTCAGTGTGGTGGAAAGGAAAGCCACTGATCATTCAAGTAGGTGACTGTATAATTACAAATCATGAATGGTAATCATAGTGAGGGTGGTAGCTAAAATGTATTCAACACATGACTAGGAATAGCACCATTTTAAAAATGCATTGAAGTAGGAGCTATCATTTCTCTTATTTTCTAGGTGGCAAAATGGAGGTTCAAAGAGGTTACATAATTGACCTCTGTTCCCACTAGTAATAAGGAGAAAATCTGGATGACAACTAGGTAAAACAACTAACAGCCTCCACTTTCAATTGAATGTTGATTATGGCTATAAGATACTGTGGGCATAGTTCAGGGTTCCAATATCCATCGGGTACCATATCCCAGTCAGCTTCAGCGCAGTATGGACAGGGGTAAGAGGTAAGAAGGGATGAGAGAGTTAACCAGGCAGCTGGGTTGGGAACTGGAAAGGAAGCAGTGGGGGGCGGGCCTGAGTTGGAAGGGAGCCTGAGGCCCTTGAAAGGAGGGAGGGAAAGTTCACAGCAGGGGCGGTTGTTCACTTTATGAGTCTGGAAGTGATGATGTCTGTTTGTGTTGTGGGAATCAGTGTCCTGGGGAGAGAAATGGGCCCATGTGGCTTAGTGGGTTTCTGCTCTGACTGCACCAGGGCGGGTCTATCACTGTGGCTTATTATTATAATTATTATTTTATTAAGCTGCTCTCAGTTTAAGCTCAAGATCACTAGCATAATATTGCTTTCTCATCACTCTACTTAAAAAACCCATGTGCCTTCTTATTTCTCTTTGGATGAAGATGAAACACCTTAAAACCTCCCACGCCCCTGTGGGTGGGAGCCTTCATATTCTCTGGCTGTTCTTTCCCCTCTGTTCTGCTCTCCATGCTCCAAACGCCCCACCAGGCAGAATATTTTTTTCAGTCTTTCATGCTCCTTCTGTCTTGTCTCTCTGCCTGTACAACTATCCTTTCCTTCCTTGTTCACTTGCATGTTCAGGATTATTCTCTAGTGTCTGTGGTGTGTCAGGTACTCAGCTAAGTCTTTTAGTGACACTGAAATTGAATGGATGTTGAAAGAAGAGAACAGGAAAGAAGAGGAGGAAGAGAAGGGAGAAAAGAAGAAGAGGATAAAGGGGTATAGAGGAAGAGAAGAGGAGGAAAAGGGAGAGGAGGAGAAAGAAGGGGAAGAAAGGGAAAAAGACTGGATGAGGGGAGAGGGCAGAGAGAGAGAGGAGAAGAAATTGGCTTTGGTAACAGCTATTCAGCTAAGAAGAGCCGAGATTTTCACAATGCAATTTAGCTTTTGGTCAGATCGCTATGTAGGAAATGAACAGTAGGGAGTAAGGCTGAGACAGGTCATAAGACAGGAGTTGGGTAGGGAGGGCGTGAGAGAGGCCGAGGGAGAGATGGACAAGCAGAGGGAGGAAAGCAAGGGAAGGAGAGAGAGGGAGCACGCTGTGGATGGATAGTGGTGGGAAGTGTTGAAATGGTGACCCCTGTGGTGTGTAGGAGTAACTGCAGTGATGACTGAAGAACTTTTCTGAGAAACCGGAAGTGGGGGAAATAGGAGAATCCGGGCTACCTTGCTAAATGTTTATTGATTGATTGTATTGGGTGGTGATGCCACTTATGAAAATGAGAAAGGCTAGGGGAGGAGGTGATGTTTACGGGATCAATTGAGAATTCTGCTCTGGTTATGTCTATGGGAGATACTTATATACCATCTGTGTGGATTTTCAAGCCTGGATATTTGCAGAGAGGCAGGCTGGATGCATGTATTTGGGAGAAACAAGGATATAACCATGATGTTAAAATGAAGTCAGGGAGAGTTCTATGGATGGGAAGAGAAGGGGGCTAGCCTGGTTCACTGCTGCCCATCATTCAGATTTTCCTGATGGCTCTTTCCTAATGAATGCCTTCCCAATCCCTTGGTGGGAAAGCCCCTCTTGTAATGCTTGTAGCTATCATGTACTTCTCCTTCACAGCACTCAGTACATTTGAAATCTACAGAGATGTGTGATTGGTAATATGATGATGGCATGGTTGCTTCCTAAAGAGAGTGCAACATATTGTTCAACATATTAAGAAAGATCACACAAAACTTGGCAATAAGACAGAAAGTAATACTATGTGTTCTTCAGTCATAAAGCACTGGGTAATAAGTGTATCACAAGTCCACTGGTTACCATTTAGGTACTGTTTACCTTTCATTAGCATGCAGGCACTGGAGAACTAGGTCTGAACTTGTAGAAAATTGATAAGATACAAATTACGTTTTGTCAAAGAGACAGAATTATTATCACAAAAGGCATGGTTTTATTATTCACCCAAAAGTAGTGATTGTAATTAATGTCACTGATTTTCATACTTAAAAACAGATAAAATGGTGCATTTTTCTTATATATTTTTTGCAATTTAAAATATTAAAAATACAGTAAATCAAGAACTATTAAATTGTGTGTAATGACTTATAAGGCTTATAAATTATAATTCAGTAAAGTTGAAAAAATAAGGCACTATTTTTGATTTATAGGACTTTACTGTCCGATGGAGAAAATTACTCAGCAAACAAACTTCAAAAAAGGCAAAATGTCAAAACTTGGTGGTTATAAAAACATCTGGGGAATCATCTTGCCTCGGTTAAGTCCACTCACTCTGTAATCTGGAACAGTTTATGGAACCTCAGCTTCTTTATCAAAAAATGAGTCTAATATTACAGCATACATCACAAACCTATGGTTTTACCTCAGTAATGTAATCCATGAGTTTCTGACATAGTAAGAATTCACATTCAGCTACCATAAGTACAATTATAGTCAATACTCATTTAAAAGCTCAAAGGACTGCATATGCAGAAACACGTTTTATGTATATTCACATTGAATTTTGAGGGACGATCCCCAAGGGAACATTATTGGCATATAGTACGTATCATGGTGTTCTTAATGATTTTGGTAGAGAAAAAATGAAACAAACATTTAATGTTTCACAGAATTGTGTGGCAAAAAGCCTTCTATGATGAAGGAAAAAAGTCTCACCAACATAGATGTTAACTTAATGTATTTTCTATTAGGCTTACAAATATAAACTAAGCATAAATTCTACTTCATCTGACGTGGTTATTATTACATTTTTGCTTCAATAGTGTATATTTTTAAATTTTCATTATAGGAATTACAGCATAGTCCAGAAAAGGGAATGACGTATCTCCATGTGTAAGCATGACTCATACTTCTGCACTGCGGTGGTGACATTGTGGTATCCGTTCACTCACAACCAGACCGAAGTGCTGGCACCCACAGGTTGTGGTTTTTGCATTCAAGATATCTGTGTTACCTTCTTCCATGGGCTGTCACAGAGCTTTCATCACTTCGTGTTGTACGGACTGTATTTTCTTTTAACGGTGTTCGGGGGGGTGGGGGTGGTCATTTTACCTTTCCTTAAACCAATAGAAGTACCATCACAAATGCAGAAGTGACCCTGAAATTTGGGTCACTCAGTTATAAAGTGATCGTCTAGAGCATGTAGAATGTACTTGGATTAATTGCAATGATGTGCTATTTAAATCAAGATACATAAATTAAAATTTCATATGAATCATTCAGACTTGAGAGTGTACTTTTGCTAATATTAACATGCCTACTATTGCCAATTGCTCACAGTGCTATATGTTGTATTGTACTCTGTTTTTTTTCCCTAGTACATATAGGAATTGCTATATATCCTCTCCCCTTCTGTGTTTCCTTTCTTTCTAAGCTTCCTGGCTGCTGTCTTGTCTGTGCATGATTGTTTTCATCATCAGGGCACAAGCCAAAGTAAATATCTATTTATATCTACATTGACATCTATACCTTTATTTTTAGAGTGAGAAAAGAGCATCATTGAGTGCCTTTTCAACACTGTTCTTTGTTCCATGTGACATATTATGCATTATTGATGAGAAAATCTGATAAGACAAATATATCAGAACATCTGTCACTCATACTGGATGCTTTCTTTAAGTTCGTGTTTCAATTTCTGAAACACAAATTCCCAAGCTGGAAACAACAGTCCACATTAGGATACAATACTGTAAATGACCCCAAACTGAAGTTAGAATTGACCCTTTCTTAGTCTCATCTTTATGTTTTGTAGACATAAGAAGAGTGTACAAAATAATCACCAACACTATCAATAGGTCAAATGTTCTCTGGTTCCTGGATTTCTAATCCCTTCCAGGGAGTACAGAACCATCCCCAGTGGAGATGAGATCCATGAGGCTAGGACTGCATCTGCTTGCTTTATACTATTCTTCGGCTGAAGCATGAGGAGTTGCACGAGGGACATAGTAAATAAGAATGCATATAGTAAATGTAGAGCGCACATTTACTGACTTTCGCTGACATCCTGGATACCAGATTTACCTTCCTCAATCAACCAACTGCTACATTTATTATGATATTTTCCACTTCATTATTTCCAAATGAACTCACATTGTTTACTTGGAGAAAGAAATCTGAACCTCTTTCCATGGCATTTAAGGATGTTCACAATCTGATTCCATTTACATGACCACGTAGGAGACCATACACAGATAAATTGCTAGCTAGGAAGCGTAGGATGAGAGGAAAACCAGAAGCTATTAGTCCCATTTCCTGCTATTCCGACTCCCGAGAAGCAGCCGTATTAAATTACCTATTGCCATTTAATTGCAGCACCCATCAATTTTCAACATTCTGGCTGAAAACTGGTGACTTTTTGCATACAAATTTCATTCTTAATAAGTACAGAGAACTGAGATTTTGCCACATGTGGTAAGCAAACCAATCCTTTGAATTTATTATTTATGCTATGAATATTTCATTTTTCTCTTTTTAATGTAGACATTTTAATGATTTGGGGCTTGTGTTTCATTCTTTTTTTTTTTTTTTTGAAGAGAATAAAACCTAATGAGAAAAAATAAAAATAGGTCAGTGAAAACAAAAGGACATGACTTAAAACCAAAATACAAGGTGATCAACAATGATTACCACAATGCCTCTTGTTATCTTCAATAGAATTGCCCATGTCATCAGGCATAATAAAATTGAACATAGCAGTACAGAATAAAACCCATAAAAACAAAACATTGGAGACGTCATAGGGCTTCAAAAGAAGATAATAGTAAAACCAGAATGGGTATCATAATGAATCTTATTGTCTTAAAAAAAAAAAAAAAAAAAAAAAAAAAAAAAAAAAAAAAAACTCCTCAAAAGCTCTTTTTCTTTTTTTCTTTTTTGGTACTGGGGATTGAACCCACCACCTCGTGCTTGCCAGGCAGACACATATGCCACTGAGCTCAATCCCCAGCCCTGCGTTTCATTCTTAATATATGACTACTACCAGTTTTTATGAAAAATTCTTATCATTTTGTCACTTCATTTATTTGTTGTTTAACTACTGGCTTATAATTTTTCTTTTACTTTTACACATTTTAGTTTGTATAAGTTTTACACATTTTTACAATTTTAGTTTGTATTATCTAAAATTTTCCTCAGAGTGCAAAAATTTTATCTTCTTTAAACAACAAAAACTACATACACTTATTTTTGTTTTTTATCATTACTAATATTTCTCTCAGAATGTCTGTATAATTTCTCTATCATTCACTAAACTTGTAATTTAGGGTATTTGTCAGCGTTTACCAAAAGTAACCCCTGAAGTAACTTGTAAAAATTGTACCTGTTAGCGCTTTCAACTTTCCTCACTTCATAGTTTTACTTGATCTGTTGCCAAACATATTGCCTTTAGTTTATGTCTGCATGGTTGAAAATTCACAATTACCATCTGCAGCCTAGAGGCCAGGGAAATCAGTAGCATGACTCGGTCACAAGGGACCCACAGGTTTTAGAGCCCATCTAGAAGCCAAAGCTTGAGAACACTCAAAGTGTGAATGGATCATGTCTACTCAGCTTGCTGCTCCACATGCCTGTCCTTGGAAACACCCCACAGACATACTTAGGAGGAACCGCAGTGAAAAGACATTCTTTAACCCAGTCAACTTAACCTCAGTAATCAGCCAGTAAGTAACACTGCGTATTTCTGCCCATCGATGTGGTAATAGACTGAAATAAAAAAAGACACCATAGCCATGGGATTTTTATCTTAATAATATTTCCTTAATAAAATAATATTAAAAGCTACTAGAAATAGGTAAGGCCCTGATGATGTGGGTCAGCAGGATACAAACCTAGACAAGAAACATCTATATCACAGTGCACTGGAAATGTAGAGGAGTAAAAGACAGAAGGAGAGTAGAAAGGAGAAAGGTATGAAAGCAGGAGAAAGGAGAAAGTAAGATATCTAAGTAACATGGTGATTTTGGTTATTTGCATTATGACCATGTGATCTCCACTTATTATGATCTATTTCACACATGAAAGTTTTGCATAAGATGAACAGGAATGATTTATTAGATTGGTCGACAATAGAGTTAAAACAATAACAGTAATATGTAGTGTATCAGTTAAGGTTCATTAGAAGAACAGATTTCATAACACATATACATTTGTATGTATATATACATACATTATTATATAGGAAAGATTTTCAAGGTAGATTTACAATGGGTGCCTACACAGTCTGTGCCCTGGAGAGCTGGGTGATCCAGCCAAAAGTCAAAAGCCTGTAGCTCACTGAAGAGTCTTAGATGAGTCCATATTGGGAAGCCAAGGGGTCTGCATTGGAAGGCTGCAGAGTCTGTCCTGGAGACCTAGAAACAGATATTCAAAGGCAATGGCAAAGACCAGAGTACCTCCAAAGAAACAAAATGGAGAGTTCCTCCTTTCCCTTTTTATTCCACACAGGCAACAAGCCTATTGGTTGGTGCTTCCCACACCCATACCCATCTCAGAGCTGTGCAAAACCAATCTGCTAGGCATGTTTTATTCAATTTGACACTCACAGTTAACTATCACATGCAGTAAAGAACTGAGATTCAAGGAAAGAAGCAATCAAAGGCAGTGGCAATCGTGAATGTAAACCTTGTAGTGTTTCACAAAAATCAAAAGGATGATAATGAATTCCTCTTCAAAGCAAAAGGAAGAATTTATGACAGTATTTTAAAAAAATCGTGTAGAAACAAGAGACCCTAGATAACCTTTGTATGGAGTGTATGTGTATTTCTCATAAACAAGTATCTGGAAGTTTACTAAAATGTTAAGTATTGTCATTTCTGGATGATAAACTCTAAACTGGTCTTTATGTGTTTTTTAAAATACTTTTCTGTATTTGAATTTTCTGCAATAAATGTGTTTTTATAATCAGATTAATTAAAGATTTTATTTTTGTTTCTGAAAGTCATCTTCAAAGATTGTTTTACTCATCCAGGCCTTTGATACATACTGGGCAACAGTGTCCATTCAATGATTGTCTATCCCAAGGTTATAAACCAGAAAACTCCTGGAAGCTGCTGCTCAAGGGTGTCCTTGAGAAGTCCATGTGTTTTAATAGATAGTCCATTAGTCCATCTGGGATGGGATTGTCACTTGTTTAGGGAAAGTAATAAGTCTGAAAAATACAGGTGGTCACCCGGAAGTTACCTAATTCCAGCTTTTAAAATCATTGTGTCGCATTTTACTTAAATTCAGTGAAAATGTATTCATACTGTTTCAGTTTCATTTTAAACCAGCTAGATTGCAAAAACAGCCTTTTCCTGTTTGTCCCATGAGTCTACAACTCAGCTTTAGATCATAGCCACATTTTCATGAATTTAATCCCCACCCCTTTGGTTAGACTTGAACCACTGTAATTTTCTCAGCTTTGACCTATGGCATAGCATCCTAAAGATTTTCCCCTGGGCTTTGCTTCCACCCACATTTTCTCTTGTATATTCCTCAAGAGAGAGCTCAACATGGGGGTTATGACCATGTCACTGGAAACCAAATAGTTGACTTTGAATCCTGATTGTTTAATAATAGTGTGATGTTGTATAAGTAACTTGGCCTTGCTAAGTTTAACCAAGTCGTCTATAGTGTAAAACTAAAAATACAGTAGTTCTTCCCTCAGAGGTTGTTATGAGGATTGTTCAGGGAATTCATGAAACATGGAAAATTCTAGTAAATTCTCTAGCACATCATGAGTGCTCAGTGAACTAACTGTACTGTTTGTTTTACATCATCACATATTCTTATTTCTTTTTATCTTCCAGGATGTTCTTGCAGCGTAGGTCGCAGAGTCGGCAGAATCCCCACCCATTTCAACCTCCCTCACCTCTTTTCAGCATGATGCAGTATAAAGAGCAGAGCCTTACAGGACAGAGACTTAGCACTGTGGCTACCAACTTAATGTGTGAACCTGAGCCATTTCTGAGTGTCTTTATGAGATATGATAAAAAATGCAACACATGCTACTGATGAGTGCCACATAATGAAAAGACAGGTTTGTAAAAACATGGTGTGTACTCATCTACCTTATCCACTGAGCTTGGGACCATGTGACTTCTGAATTTCTCCCTAAAATCAAAATGACCACGAACGGTGAAAGTCTTATGTAGATCCAGGACATCAAAGCCAACACAACAGCGCAAGTAAAGGCACTCACTACAGAGACTTCCAGGTCTGTTTCAGAGACTGGCAAGAACG